GGGAGGAAGGGATGAGGTATGTAGATTAGACCCCAGTCATGCTGTGGGTTTTAGAATACGGCTGACTCTCCGTTGACATTTAGCGTGGGAACGTAACAGCAGCACGAACAGTTATATAATTGGTTGATTTCGGAGCTGTCTGTCTATAGAATGTTGTTGTCTCTGTGGGAATAATGCATTCCTTTTTGGTCAAAATTTTCATCAGATTTTCTAAAGATTGGTTCTAAAATGAAAAAAAAAATGAAAAAAAGAGGGGAAGGGGAGACGAGTTTCTGAAACAAAATTATTCACACGTATACGGTGATTATTTCATGGAAACTGTTCAACAGATTTACTGATTTACAGCCATCCAAAAACGATATTTTACCACAAAAACTATTTTAAAATAACAAGACTTATCGTGAAGCTTGACCAAGAATTTGCGACTCTGACACTTAAGTGCGTAGCGGTGTAGACTCTTTATTGTTGCGCACAGACGACCCGCTTTCTTTATCATTTTATTTACATTTCATTTTTTAAATTTTTTGGGTGTGTGTTTTACGGCGCTCGCAACTGCATACGGTTATATGAGCACGCGGGACACATTAAAACATTGACCCGATTTCGATTCCTGAGTTGGAAGATTTGTTGTTGTCTTAATGTCTGCGGTGATAAATACGTAATGTGCATGTAACCAAAGGTCCTTGGTGCACCCTGATACCAGTGATAGGCCGAGTCGAAGAAGCCCGCCCCTAAATGAATTACATTGTTTCGATTATTATTTATTTTTTAAACTTTAAATTTAAATTAAATTTAATTCAGCCTAATTTAATTTGAAATAACTCAATTCCATTATATTTAATTTTATTTAATTTAATGTAATTTTACCTTATTTATTTATTTATGTTTTTGTGTTGTTTTTTCTTTCTCTTTTCTTTTTTTTATTTTGGGGAGGGGGTGTTTACAAATCTATTATAAGGCCTATTATTATATGTGTTGCGACACGGTGGAATCAGGCGCTTGTCAAAATGACGCAATTGAAGATGCAGGCATTTTCCCACCAGTTTCACAATTTTAATGAAGCTTTTTTTTTTTGGGGGGGGGGGGGGTTGTTCAACCCTTTAATGTCCAAATAAAAGCACATGTTCAAGTGAATTCTACTGAAAACACGTTAGTTATGAGCTCAAAATATGCAATTTTTCAGTTTTCAAGGACTCTTTTAGCTATTGAAGTTACCAAACTTTGGCGGCCATTTTCTCGCTATTTTACCTCTGAAACCAAGTGAAAGTACCTCTTTCAATTACACATATCTTCACTTCTGCTCAAGATAGATGGTTATTTTTTTCATCAAAAGCAACATAAATGAATAAACTTTAAGATGATACCAATAACTCCACATGCATAAAAACTGACGAGCGCCCGATTCCACTGCGTCGTGACACATATTATTGTTAACATGTTTCAATACAGATTCGGCAGTGGGCCTGAAATGCTCCTGATGCTGGTGGAGGGAAACATTCGGTCGTCGAGTAGTTCATAGTTAACCAAGACAGTCGGATCAGGCACACCTTTATCTCAGTTGGTATAAAGCTAGACTGCGGAGCGGGTGGCCCTGGTTCAAATCCCATACTGGACGTTCTTGAACTCGAGTCGTTTTGTGGAGTTTTCAAGGCTGTAAACCTTATTTGGTTGGTCTTGTCTGATACAGATGTTCAGTTCAGAGGGCCCGCCTCTTAAATAATCTTATAGCGTTGATTGGAGAGTTTAATCCATACAGTTGTAACTTGCAACCCCTCAACACCATGACGTCACGAGAGAAGCCTACTCTAACAAACCTCATTCCATTTTAGCTCGTCACTAGTATGACGTCAGAACAGTACTCAAACAAATCTATTTTTCCATTTCAGCCTGTCACCATCATGACGTCACAGCGCGCTGTATACCACATTATGGTCTTGCTGTGGTCTTGTACCACATTCATGGCGGCAGGCGAGGATGGTAACCATCTGCAGCTCGACCATCCTGGTTCTGCTAAGGTAGACGAAGCAGTAGTCAATATCGTGTCGGAAATGTACAGAGACTACCGAGCACTGTCGCTGGCTCGGGACGCCTATGCTCTCGGAAATGAACACCAGAGATACCTCAACGGGCATGCAGGTAAGTCTTCTGGTTGTGTATGGAGGAAAGGGGGGGGAGTAGATAGCATCATATAGACTGATAGGCAGAGAGAGGGGGAGAGTGAGAGAGGGAGAGAGAGAGAGAGAGAGGGGAGAGAGAGAGAGAGAGAGAGAGAGAGAGAGAGGGGGGGGAGAGAGAGAGAGAGGGAGAGAGAGAGAGAGGGAGAGGGAGAGAGAGAGGGAGAGAGAGAAAGAGAGAGAGAGAAAGAGAGAGAGAGAGAGAGAGACACAGAGAGAGAGAGAGAGAGAGAGAGAGAGAGAGAGAGAGAGAGAGAGAGAGATGCATGCAAGGAGCAGAAAGGACAAACGAATTTGACCCACCTTCGGATTTGGTCATCGGACATCTGAACGTTTCATCCGGTGCACAAAAGACGGTTGGGAAACCAAACCGAGGGCGTTATAGTAATTGTAACCCTTTTGCTCTGTTTTAATTTTTTTAAAGTGTTATCAAGATCTAGCACTTATATCCCATCCAGGCACCTTGAAAATAGGAGATATATGAGGAGGATGAGACAAGTGAATCTGACTCCATCCGGGTTCGAACCCGGAACTTTTCCTTAGCGTTTTAAGTTCCTAACCCTAGCGGCCTTCGCCCACATTCCCTTTCCCAACCCCGCCCCCACCGACAGGTAGAAGGTAAATCTATGCCTTGCATTTTGACTTTGTTCCTTAGGTCTTTTTTCTTCTTTCCTTTTTTTTACCGATGTGGTAAGCAGTTCAAGGCGCTTTGTCATCGCTTACAGAAGACATGATCCGGTTCGATTCCCGTGTGTTGAGGTTCTTTTATAATCGAGTTTCTCCGTCTGTCTTCTGGGACATTGTATCCCTCTTAGCCTTTGTCATTGTAAGCCTTGACAGGCAGGGTCGAAGCTACCTGCCTCCCTAAAAGAGCTAAATTGTGTCGATTGGGGCGTAAGACATTTACATTTTAATTCTTTTATTTTCTTTCCTCTTTTTCAGGTGAGCATGTTCCTACAGGCATTGGTATCCCAGACACACTGACATTTCTTAGAGGCCACACATCAAGGGCAGACAACAGGCCGCAAGCAGCCGCAGTCTCATCCCTAAAACAACAGTGGCACATCGAGGCAGACCACGGAGAACAAGTTGAAAAAAACGTAAAAATGAACATTAGCCTAAACGATAAAAAGCATTCCACCGTCCAGTTCCCTCCTTCGGGTTCCATCTCGAGCGACAACGTGGTCGGGGCCAGTGTGGGAATATCTCGTCACTTACGAGACACTTCGGGCTCTCTGATCAAGAGGTACTGCGACGTGCACGGCAGAACACAAGTGTGCTTTCAGCGCGGCCAGTCTCGCTGTGTGTGCAAGGGTGGGCTGGCAGACTGCTCCGGGCAGCGCTATGTACCCAACATCGGGTACGTCCCGCGGCTTCCCAAGACAACGAAATGCCTGAAGTTCACGCAGAACAACGTCCGGGCTCTCACCGAGAGTTATTTTGCCAACGTCTCGACAATTCTCGTGCTAGACTTCAGCTCAAACAATTTACAAATAGTCTCCAAGAAAACCTTCAAAAGATTCACAAATCTACAGTACCTTATCCTTAATCACAACCCGATTTCTTATAAGTATTTGCGTTATGTATTCGACTATCCACCCCGGCTGAGATTGGATATCATTGACCTTAATCTTAAGGACATTCCACACGCTTTCTTTCTGCCCCACAGTAACATAAACACCTCTCAGCTTTTTATGGATTTCAATTACTTTAAACACTTGAATTTAAGTGAATTTTCTCACTTAAAGAATCTACAGTATCTGAGCGTCAACAACTGTAGCATCCAAAATCTGACCAGTTCTAATATGCCAAGGTTGAAAGTCCTTGACCTAGACTACAATAGTTTGTCCACTTTTCCCGTGACCTGTAAAGAGGTACGGACACGTCTGGATCGAGATGAAGGAGAAAAGAGCAAACATCCAAAAGTGGACTCGTATTTCTCGTCTCTCACTGACCTGTACCTGGGCATTAACGACATTTCATGGCTCCCTGGGGGCGCAGACTTGTGTCTTCCACGGGTGGAGTCTTTACATTTGAACTCCAACAAAATGGTGACGTTGCAAGCCAACGCCTTTACGGGATTTCCCAGTCTTAAAGTTTTGATTTTGGATAAGATGAAACCTGGCTTCTCCTCCATTGGTCCGGCGGCATTTGGAACAAAGTCACTGGTCAGTCTGCACTTGTCCAAAAGCAACGTGGACTTCCGGGGCGGTAACATCAGCCTGGATATGTTCGCGGGCACCTCGAGTTTAAAGGTCTTACATCTTGATCATAACCCCTTGGGGGCGATCAACGAGTCCGCTCTGGGGACGTTGCTGAGTCACGCCAGCACCGTATTCTATCTGTACCTGGGTTCTACAGGACTGGTCACTTTTCCGTCTCAAGCTTTGGCTCAAATGGCTCAACTGAAAAGCCTGTATATTTATCTGAACCACATTAAAGACATCCCCGGCGGAGCTCTGGACCTTCTCCAGTCTCTTATCCTTTTGGACGCAAATCAGAACGATATCACTTTCGTGGGTGAAATGTCCACAGACACACAAAAGCGATTTAAAAGTATCAACTTAAGCCGGAACAAATATCTATGTACCTGTGACCTACTTCCTTTTCAGGCTTGGCTGAAGGAAGCGGGTCCTACTGTGTTTAAAAACTATACGCAATATCTCTGCTCGGACAGACCATCTGTGCGTGTGTGGGAGTATAAGCTGAGCCACCAAGCGTGTCTTTTGAGCAGGAAAACGTACATCTTATTTGTGGTATTTTTCTCTCTGTTTGTAGCGGCCTTCCTCATCTTCGTTGTCCTATATCGTTACCGTTGGAGCATTAGACTGGCTTTATACGAACGACAGGCAACGTCTCGGGGCCTCCCACTGGTGAACCCAGAAGGTCAGGAGTTCCAGTACGATCTCTTCATCGTTTACTGTAACGACGACGGTGATTGGGTGGAAGATGAACTTTTGTATGTAGTCGAGGTGAGAGATTCGTGCGAGTTAAAAAAAAAAAATTGCAGCTTTATTATGGA